ATCCTAAGAATAAAAATTCCACATTAAAAAAAAAAAAAAAAAAAAAAAAAAGAAAATTTAGTATGGAAGATTGTAATTCAGTTAGTACTCCCCTCCCAAGTAAGTTAGGGGGGAGAATTATGTGTAGAAACTTAATTGGTTGTGTGATGTACATTATGTTATGTACCCGACTTAAGTATTTCAATAAGTATTCTAAGCAGATATTCACACAACAACAATAAGGAACTATGGCAACGCCTTAAAAGAGTTCTTAGATATCTGAAAGGAACTGTTAATATCAGCCTCTGATTAGCATTCGTTGTAGTCAGACGTGTTTTCTTTTCGCTATGAATTCTTATTCGTGCTGCGAGTGCAATGCTGAAGTTACAGCAGCGCAGCTTCGCGGTTTTAAGGCGGTTCGTTGCTCATCGCTTTGTCGTCGTACTTTTCACACTGCATGTGTTGATATCCCGGAGGATGCTATCAGATTATTAACAAATATGCCGAATCTACTCTGGCAGTGTGATCGCTGTGTTGTGAGTAATGATTCATACTCCAAAATCGATGAAGTAATGGAAGAACTTCATGACCTGAAGAGTCTATACATGGATTTAAACTCAAAGTTTCTGAAGGCTTTTCCCAACTCTACCACTGACAATAGCAATGTCAGTCAGCGTTAAAAAGTGGTGAAACCATTGGCTCCAGCTTCCTCAATTGGTCGTCAAGCCAACCATGCAGACCTGATACCCCCGGCACCAGTTTCTACTGCTGCCAGGAACCATGCAAAGAATCACAGGATCAAGAGGCAAATAGTTGGTCAAGCTCCTAGTTGTGAGCTACTGCCGAGCAATAAATTCCTTCATATTGGTAGATTCAGAGCGCACGTAAAATCTGATTCTGTGTGCGAATAGTTTGCATGTAAGCTAGGTGTGGATACCGCCACCATAATTTGCAAGCCTTTATTCAAAAATGGTGTAGATGTTGCTACACTGGAATTCGTCAATTTTAAATTAGGAATATCGGTTGTTCCATATAGGAAGCAATTATTTGTGTCTCGTTTAACACTTGAAACCATATCTGCAGATGTTTTGGAATTTATACAACAGGAATTCCCATCTCAAAACATCACAGTGGAGGAGTTTAAATTTCCATATGTTCGTATGATATCTTCATTTAAAATATCTGCTCCTCCGGAAGTATTTAATTTACTAAATTCTAAAAGTTTTTGGCTTAATGATGAATTGGTTATTAAAGAATTTGTTCCAAACAGACGGAGAACTAATAATAGGCCTTCCACGACTGTACCTGTGCCAAAAAACTGAGCAGTTTATTTTTGGCCTATCAAAATGTTAGGGGACTCAATATGAAGCTACCTAAGCTTTATGCTGACTCCTCTGCCTTTTCTGAAGACATTCTGGCCTTTACTGAGACTTGGCTGAAACCGGAGATATCAGACTCCGAAGTTCTGTCCAAAAATTTTAATACGTATAGAACTGATCGCTCTCCTCGTACGGGGGGTGGGGTGCTGGTTGCCGTTACCTCTACTTTATCATCGGAGAGAATATACTTTCTTAATCCCAATGACATAGAATTCGTTGGTGTTAAAGTTTCTTTGAAATCTTTTTCTATTTATGTAACTTGTTCTCATATTCCACCTGGATCCGACTTAACAATTTATGAGCAACATTTATCTGCAATAAAAACTGTTTTATCTCATCTTTCCGAAAGGGATCTTTTAATTGTTTTGGGTGATTTCAATCTCCCTGACATTTCTTGGTCCCTTTCCACTGACTGACTTGTCTCTACCCCTTTATCTGACCATGACTTCGTTGACGGTCTGTTAGAATTATCATTACAGCAAGTTAGCTTTATACGTTATTCACTAAACAGACAATTAGATCTTGTATTTGTTTTAGATCCGTCTGAAGTCACTGTATCTAGAAGTGACCCACTAGTTGTGCCTGAAGACCAGTATCATCCCACATTAGAACTTACCATTTGTCTTCCCGGCGTTGATACCCTCTCTCCTTCACTTTCTCCAAATAAATGTAGATGCTTTCGTAAATGTGACTTTAGTAAACTTAACAACTTGATTTCACAATATAACTGGACAAATTTATATAATTGCTTGGATATTGAAAGTGCTACGGAACTATTTTATAGTGTCCTAAACTCTTTTTTCTGTGAATGTGTTCCTGACAGTTTTCCTCCTAAGTTAGACAGGCCACCTTGGTTTACCAATCAGTTGCAAAGACTTAGAAACCTAAAAACAAACTTCTATAAAAAGTACAAAAAGTCGGGTAGGCCATCCGATTTTTCAAGATATGTGGTGGCTCGTACTAATTTTAATGTACTTAACAGTCATTGCTATTCCAGGTATTTGAACCGATGTAAATTTGAATTTTCAAAGGATCCGAGGCAATTTTATAACTTTGTCAATGCTAAGCGAAAGTCTTCAGCATTGCCATCATCCGTACGATTAAACTCTATTGAGGCATCTACGGATCCCGAAATTGCAGATTTATTTGCTGAATTCTTCCAATCTACTTATAGTTCTGTTTCATGGTCTAATTCTAGCTACCCTAATCACTTAAACAGGGCAAATTGTATTTTATCTCCTGTAATCACCGAGAGTTCTCTCTTAAGTGATTTAGAAACTATAACGCCAACCTATTCTCCGGGGCCAGATGGACTCCCTGGGTGTGTTCTTAAGTTTTGTGCCCGAACTATTTGTAAACCCATTCTTAAACTTTTTAATTTGTCTATCTCATCATCTGTTTTTCCTACTATCTGGAAAGATTATTTTATTATTCCACTCCACAAAAAGGGTGCGAAGGTTAATGTTCAGAACTATAGAGGAATCTCCAAATTGTCTGCAATTCCTAAAACATTTGAACGCATTATTACCTCTCAGTTGCAACATTTGTGCTCCTCTTTAATATCGCCGTGTCAACATGGTTTTGTTAAGCGTAGATCGACCACCACTAACCTGCTCGAATTGACATCTTTTGTACTAGATGGATTTAACAAAAAATTGCAGACAGACGCTATATATACAGATTTTAGTAAAGCCTTTGACTCTGTTAACCACTCTCTTCTTTTATTCAAATTAGATCAGCTTGGGTTTCCGAATAATCTGTTAACTTGGATTTCAAGTTATTTGAATGGTAGATCTCAGAGGGTTTTATTCAAAAACGCTGTTTCCAAGATGATCAACGTGACATCTGGAGTGCATCAGGGCAGTCATTTAGGCCCTTTGCTGTTTACTCTGTTTATAAATGATCTTCCTTCTATCGTAAATCACTCTCGTGTACTAATGTATGCTGATGATGTTAAGCTTTGTTTTTCATATAATAATATTGAATCTGGTTTCTGCTTGCAGTCAGACATAAATAGATTCCAGGAATGGTGTCAGTACAACCTTTTGAACTTAAACTATCTTAAATGCAACGCTATGACTTTTTATAGGGGTACGCCAACGTTCATGAGTTACTCTCTTCAGAACATGTCCTTGGACCGAATATACTCAGTAAACGATTTAGGTGTTCTCCTAGATGCTAAACTTAAATTTGACTCCCACATAACCTCTACTGTAAATAAAGCTATGAGTGTTCTTGGGTTTATAAAACGTTGGTCTAAAGAATTTGATGATCCATACACTACCAAATTATTATTTACCTCACTTGTCCGACCTAATTTAGAATACTGTTCTTCCGTTTGGAGTCCTCAGTATCAAGTGCACATTGACCGTATAGAGTCCGTACAAAACAATTTCTTCTTTTTGCCTTACGTGGTTTGAACTGGGATCAAAACGTCAGGTTGCCTTCTTACTCGAGTAGATTGCTATTAATTAATTTGCCTACTCTAGTAAGCCGTAGAATTATGCTTGGTACTATTTTTATGAATAATCTTATCAGAGGCGATATTGATTCTGTAGATTTGGTAAGCCGCATAAGTTGCAATGTTCCTGTTAGACTAATGCGAAACTACCATCCTATCAACTTGCCACGATGTTCATCTAATTTTAGTCAGCATGAGCCCTTTCGCGTTCTTTCTAATAATTATAACAACCTATACCATTTAATTTGTTCCTCAACTTCTATCCCTGTACTAAAAACTAAAATCTTAGCTCATTTGCTTTAATCTTGTTGATCTATGTTTTGTCCTGTCTTTATCTGTTCTATGTACCTTCCTCGCGAACTTTTTTTTTTATTTGCCCGAAATAAAAATGGGCCCGCGCGTAACAAGCACGTGCTTGGTGTCGTTTGGGCCACTTGTTTGTACTGCTCTTAGTGCATCAACGTTCAACAATATAAGAAAATACCTGAGCAGCACTTTCAGACTGTGTTTAGTGATGCGTTCTGGCCCAACCCAATCAAGGTCAGTCGATTCATCCACACGGATAGGCCGATTGTTGATGGGAACTACGGCAAATTTTTATGATCCTCTTCCTCATCTTCATGCTACTTATTCGCAATGTCAATGTCCGCTGGTTTCGATATGGTTAGCTGCTACCATTACTCACTCATGCGCCGCTCCCAGTGCACTCTTAAGTCACTCCCAAATCAAAAACATCATCAGCTGGATTTTTCCTTTTTTGTTCTGTCTAACGTTCTTCAAACGCTCACTGGAGAGGCGTTGTCACCAGATTCCATTAAGATTCCCGCTCTAAGCGCGCTCTTCGGAGATGTGCACTCATCACAATCAAAGCAACAACGGCATCAGCTCTCTAGAGAGCTGCTCTCATCATATTTCATCAAGATTCCCGCTCTAAGCGCGCTCTTCGGAGTTGTGCGCACATCACCGTCAAACAACAACAACGTCAGCTGGAGTTGTCGTTGTCTGTTTTGCGCGACATTCTTCAAACGCTGATCGATTTGGCGCTCTCATCATATTCCATCACGCTTCTCCCTCTAAGTGCGCTCTTTGGGGATGTGCATGCATCACAATCAAAGCAACAACAGCATCAGCTTGAGTTGTCGTTGTCTCTTTCGCACGACGATCGTCAAACGCTCTTTGGAGAGCCGCTCTCATCATACTTCATCAAGATTCCCGCTCTAAGCGCGCTCGTCGGAGTTGTGCGCTTAGCACAATTGAACCAACAACAACGGCAGCTGGCGATCTGCGGGCCTACAATATTGGGAAAGCAAGAACAAATACTTCCTAGGGCATTGGACTATGATGCCCAAAATGCGAATCCGGAGATTGTTGATCGTGCTATTGTGAGTACGGCCCCACTAAAAATTTATTTTTTTTTTTTTATTTATTTATTTATTTATTTCGCCAACAGTTGGTACCTTAACAATTTTCAAAACATCTCCGGAATGCGAACAAAGGCGGAGCAAGTATACCTTGCCACATCCCAATGCAAGTTTGATGTTATAGTTTTAGTTGAAACTTGGCTCAACATAAACTTTTACTCAAATGAATTCTCCGACTCCAATTTGTACCATGTGTTCCGCAAAGACAGAGGTAGCCCTCCTAGAGGGGGTGGTGTAATTGTTGCTGTTCGCTGCAGTTTGCGCTGCTTGTCAATTGGACTTCTCATTGAAGACACCCTTCTTGATCAAGTTGCGGTGTCGATTATTGGAGAATCCGCAACGCTGGAAATTGTGGTGTCATACATACCACGGAATGGTTCATATAAACTTTACAAGGATCATCTGGAAAACATTACCGACTTCTACAATAATCTGCAGGACCATCATCATATCTGTGTGATTGGAGACTTTAATATATCATCCCTCGTTTGGTCTCAGGATCCGGAGCATCACTCTTCACTGCCAAGCAACATACATCAACCACACGAGATACTTTTCATCGATGATATTTTCATGGGCTACAAGTCAATAATATAGTTAATAACTAACATAAAATTTTTGACTTAGTATTCGTTAGCGCTGATTTTCTTTAGTCCAATGTAATTCACCTATAAGCAATTGTGACATCCATTGTAGACCATTGCTACTATGTATAAACATTTACAGTTTTGCGCCTTCAGCTGAATATTCACCTAGATTTATTTTCAATGAAACCAGCCTTTGTGCCATCAGAAATGAGATAACTGGGAGTCATGTCAGTTTGGAGTCGTGTTATGACACTTTTTTAGTTGTTATTTTAAACATCATTAAGATCAATGCTCGAGAAAGGGTCCACAATCCTTTAAGTTGCCATGGTATACGAAAGGTTTGAAAAATCTTAAAAATCTTCGAAATAAATTCTATAAAAGGTTTTTAGTTACACAGGATCCTGGTGATTGGAATAGACACTTGCAGCACAAACGAGAATTTGAATTTCTAAATAACTTTCTTTACAATCAGTATATAGCGAGTGTTAAGAAGGGACTACTATCCCAACTCTTTTTGGCGATTCATCAATTCGAAGAAGAACGCTTCTTCAGTCCCATCTGCTATGTTCCTAGGGAATCAATCTTCCAATTCAAATACAGAAAATGAAAATCTCTTTGCCTCTTATTTTAAAGCTAATTCTGAGCCAACAGCAGCCTGGAATGATTCTCAAACCATAAATGCGATTACTCCTCTATTGAATTTAGGTAGTTTAACCGTGCTAGAAGAGAACATTCATAGGGCTGTGGAACACGTTGATGATTCTTACACTCCGGACTTCGATGGGATTCCGGCCTACCTTCAGAAGTTCGCATCGGTGACTCCCATTTCAAAATCAGGGCCGAAGAATAACATTGCCAATTACAACAGTTTACAAAAAAAAATCGATGAAATACGCCTTCAAGGATACCTTTGTTTTCCGGTAAGGTACATCTCCCTGATTAAGAAAAGGGCACCCAAAATTGTTTCTATGGTACCAATTTTTTTTTAGTGTAAAAAACTTTTTTCGCACTATTTTATTTTCTAACTTGAGTTCTGATAAATCGAATTCGGTAATAGCCCTTTCTTATACACATCATTGAGTTCCACTCATGAGTTTAGAAGGTACACTTATGTCAAAGTTGAAAAAGTTATAAAAAATGAAAAACGCTGTACAGATTTTTAAACGTATATACCCAAGTTCAGTATTCGGGAGCAGCGGCCGTTAGACACCATTTTAAGTTTTCAGTGTTGGGGAACGTAAGAATTTGGTGCAAGTTGTTATGCATAACGTCAGACTCCTTGCTATCATATATTTTTTCATATATTTTTAGCAAGGAAAAAGTAAGGAAAAAGCAAGGAAATTGACGTTATGCATAACAACTTGCACCACAATGAAAATTTAAAATAGTGTCTAACGGCCGCTGCTCCCGAATACTGAACTTGGGTATATACGTTTAAAAATCTGTACAAAATCTATTTACCACGGATTGTCGTGATCAATGGCGCATATTCTCCGTTAAGGTTCAGCCTTCAAGAAAACAACATAAAACAAGGAAGAACGCTATAGTCGAGTACCCCGACTATCAGATACCCGTTACTTAGCTAAAGGGACCGGCGGTAGGCAGATTTAAGCGTTATGGGCGTTAGAGTGGGCGTGGCAAATTTTTTTTTGGATCAATCGATAGGTATTGACGAGATCTAGCATGAAAATTGTGAGCGTCACAGGCTTAGGCGGTTTGTGGGCGTTAAAGTGAGCCAATCGATAGGTTTTGATGAGAACAATACATTTCAGTTAAAATTTTTATTCTAGCATCAAAACTGTAGGAGCCACAGTTTTGGGAGGTTTGTGGGCGTTAGAGTGGGCGTGGCACATTGCTGAAACAAACTTTCGCTGCGTAAGAAGCTCACTAATCTGCACGCCAAATCTCAATAGCCTAGCTCTTATAGTTTGGGGCCGTCCATAAACCACGTGGACAGTTTTGGGGGGAGGGGGGTCGTCAAAAGTCCACGATTTTCCACGAGGAGGGGAGGGGGGTCGAGGTAAATGTCCACGTGGACATAGTAAAAATTTAATTTTAACCTTTATGCTATTTATTCCACTTTTAAATTTCGCGCCACTGTATATTATACAGCGCTGCGCAGATCATTCGATATATTTATCAAATTCGTTCTATATTTATCGACTGAATTCCGAATAAATAAATACTACGGCCGGCCGGCAGGTCCACACGTGTAGAATCATAACAAACCCGTGTCGATGAAAAAATGTCTTCCAAAAATGGTGATTTATATCATCAATTATATTTAGCTTATAAAAGCAATCATCCATTTAAAAGTGCTACTTTATGCCAAAAAGAAAGCAATGTGTTGTGGAAAGAAGCTAAATCAAAATTCAGTAAAAGTGATAGTGAATTTCATGCTGAGATTAGAAAATTAATAGAAAATTTTCAAATTAAATCTACACTGAAAAAAACTGGATTTTTCAATTTCTTCATCAAGGTAAGTTTCTTATGCAAGGTTAAAGTATCAAAAAACTTTTTATACCCGTTACTCGTAGAGTAAAAGGGTATACTAGATTCGTCGGAAAGTATGTAACAGGCAGAAGGAAGCGTTTCCGACCCCACAAAGTATATATATTCTTGATCAGGATCACTAGCCGAGTCGATCTAGCCATGTCCGTCTGTCCGTCTGTCCGTCTGTCCGTCTGTCCGTCTGTCCGTCTGTCCGTCTGTCCGTCTGTCCGTCTGTCCGTATGAACGCTGAGATCTCGGAAACTATGAGAGTTACAATACTGGGATTAGGCACGCAGATTCCTGAGATTCCTGCGCAGCGCAAGTTTGTTTCAGCACAGTGCCACGCCCACTCTAACGCCCACAAACCGCCCAAAACTGTGGCTCCTACAGTTTTGATGCTAGAATAAAAATTTTAACTGAAATGTATTGTTCTCATCAATACCTATCGATTGACCCAAAAAAAAGTTTGCCACGCCCACTTTAACGCCCACAAACCGCGAAAACCTGTGACGCCCACAATTTTCATGCTAGATAAAAAATTTTAACTGAAATGTATTGGTCTCGTCGATACCTATCGATTGATCCAAAAAAAAATTTGCCACGCCCACTCTAACGCCCATAACGCTTAAATCTGTATACCGCCGGTAGGTGGCGCATTTTAATCTCGCTTTGCTGCTTGCATATCTCCATATAGCTGAGTAACGGGTATCTGATAGTCGAGGTACTCGACTATAGCGTTCTTCCTTGTTTTTATTTACTTCTAGCTCTCGTGACCCGCTTTCCAGTTCTCCACCTTCCAGTTCTCAAATTAAGAACATCGAAAAAACTTCTGTCGAGAAAAAAGAAAAATGCAAAACACGAAAAAAATATAGACTTAAAAAAAAGACGACAATTAAAAAATTGATTGCAAATAATCCAACTTTATCTCAACAATTGAAGGTATCTTTGATTTTTGTTGATGATTTTCGATTAATATTATATATAAACTAAAATAATTTAAATATAGTAAAGATAAATAAGATTTGACATGATAAATAATTATTAATTGATTTCTCTTAATTATTCAACGTCGGATAAAAATTAATTAAAAAGAAATAATAATAAAATGAAGAAAATGTGCAAGTTATGAACATTCTACTGAAAATTACACTTATTTTCATTAAATATATTAGGTGCGAGAGAAAATAGGACGTCCACGTTTGGAAGAGGACTAACAAGAGTTGCTAAAGACTATTATGGACATTGTATTAATCGTTCGATTAAAACTTTGACTCAGCTTCAGGACGAGATGATCATAATGGGCTATCTTTTATCGCGCAGTGCTACTTATTTACGTCTCATACCACGAGATTCTCGAACGAGCGATGGAAAACGTCACCTTGTTACTGAGCCGGTGAAATTATGTCGTGCGAATACAAATCACCATAAAGATCATCCAGATGGAAAGTTTTGCGTTGCGAGCATTAGGTAAATGATTCAGTTCTTCCTAATATTTATACCCGTTACTCGTAGAGTAAAAGGGTATACTAAATTCGTCGGAAAGTATGTAACAGGCAGAAGGAAGCGGTTCCGACCCCACAAAGTATATATATTCTTGATCAGGATCACTAGCCGAGTCGATCTAGCCATGTCCGTCTGTCTGTCTGTCCGTATGAACGCTGAGATCTCGGAAACTATGAGAGCTGGGTTATTGAGATTTGGCGTACAGATTCCTGAGCTTCTTACGCAGCGCAAGTTTGTTACGCAAATATGCCACGCCCACTCTAACGCCCATAACGCTTAAATCTGTCTTCCGCCGGTAGGTGGCGCATTTAGATCTCGCTTAGCTGCTTGCATATCTCCATTTTCCTTTGGTCCCTTTAGCTGAGTAACAGGTATCTGATAGTCGAGGTAATAGACTATAGCGTTCTACCTTGTTTTTCCTATTTTTCTTTCCTTTCTTCTATTAGGGAAGTCTAAGAATGTTTTGCATTTTTCTTTTTATTTACAGAAAATTAAACGAATTTAAATTCTAAATAATTTACTTCTTTACTAGGTTTCTTATTAAATTATTTGAATTAAATTTTATAGTAAAACAATTAATTAAATTTTTTTAATAACAAATAAAATATCCGTTAAAAAAATTAAATTTATAAAAACTCAAGAAACGAATAAAAGATGAGGGGAATGTCAAGAAGCAATTTACACCATTTGGTGAAAAAACAAAAGGAAGAGCTTCTGCGATCGGCCGCTTTAGCTCTACCTGTCAATATAGAAAATGATCCTGACAATGTATACCCCTCTGAAATTGTTACCGATTTGAATTACAGTGCATCAAGTTATTCCCTTAATAACAATACAGAATTAAACAATGCAGTTTTAGAAAATGAAGAAAAACCAAGTCTACGGCTAAAATTATTAGACTGGTACCATAACAATAATGTTACTAGGGATCAACTTGATGCACTGCTAAATATTTTAGAATCGGGAAACCTAGATGTTCCTCTGTCGGCTAATGGTCTTTTAAATTTAAATTTACCAAAAGCGGTAATCCGCAGTGTAAGACCGGGTCACTACACTCACATTGGCATTCGGAATTATTTGGAATTCATTAAAAACAAATTGCCAGATAATTCTGAAATAATATTAGATGTCAATGTAGACCGATTACCGCTTTTTAAAAGTTCCAATACCAGTTTGTGGCCAATTTTGGGACACTTTCCAAATATTCCCAGTA